TTTTGTTGACCTTTGTCCATGGAAGGTCCCTGCAAAATTTCATTGAAATTGGTTCAGGGGTTTTGGAGAAGAAGTCGAAAATGTAAATTGTTTACGGACGCACGACGGACGACGGACGACGACGGACAAAAGGGGATCGCAAAAGGTCACTTGAGACTTTGTCTCAGGTGACCTAAAAACCCACTGGGCTGGGTCATGTAGCTGTAGGTTTTTCTTTAAGAGCACCCTATAATACTGTAAGTATTTTGTATGCAGCAGAATGTGGACAGTTCAAAACCTTTTGAATTCAATGAAGGCAATAACAAACAAAATGCACCACTTCTGCACAGGTACATAAAACTCAGCTGGACAGATACCATAGTGAACACTTTTTGGTTTGGTTTTTAACAGCAATGATGCACAGTCTGTTAGGTTTAACAGAGACTGCATTAATTATAACAGCTAAGATTATGATATTTTTTGTGTTACCTTTGATATACTGCAGGGCCTGATCACCGTTGATATTTTCTGTGTGTGAGATACCCAGACACTGGAGTGTCCGACTGTGACACACACACAACATGGAATCGGTAACTATGGAGGTGTGGGCGATATCCAACGTCTCCAAGGTGTTTAGATCTTGTACCCCTGACAACCCACTAACCTGCAGAAACACAATATGCATGGAATTTACACTCAAATTACAACTACTGTTATCAGATTATTGCCAAAGGACAGGGTAGGGTACACAATAGCTTTGACCCTAATATTTCTCTGTAGAGTCTTGGACTAGACATTCAATGAATCTCTTCCCCTTTGGTCGAGATATCTGTCTAAAGCCTGAAGTGGAAACTACTCTATTATTCCATGGCTCTGTTTTCATCAAATTATTTATTATCTGAATTGTTTTTTTGGCGGCCAATTTGTTTTAAAACAACTTCCAGAAATTATAAAAGCCTGAAGTTTCAGCGGTGTTCAGGTTTTCATAATATTTCAAAGTAATATTGCAAATATTTCGGGCACAGCATCAAGGAGACAACACCATGAGTAGTGTAATATAACATTTGATCTACTAATGTTAATAATCTTCAGTACAATAATGATTCTCTTACAGTTTGATAAAACTATTACCTGCGTATGCTCCAAATACAAGCTTTTAAGGACTGGCAAGTCTGCAAAATAAAAATTGAGTTTAACAATAAATTTATGAAAGCAGCATACTTGGTAATTTGTTCTGAATGGTGAATGGTACTGTTTTTATCCCCCCCCCNNNCCCCCCCCCCTCTTTTACTTAACAATGATCAAACATTCTGTCAAATTTTCGCTGGAATTTGATCATATCATATTACAAAGGGCTACACCAGATATACATTAAATCAAGCTTTACTTGTTTTATAACAATTGCGAAACAAGTTCAATCAACTTATATAAACCACTCTTGATGGCCGAGATGGTAGCATGCAGTGGGTCTTAATGTTAATATGGGAGGATTATAAGGCCAACAATATCTTTGTACTTTTAAATTAAGCATGTGTTGTTTATGATAGTTAAGAAGATGTGGATTACCTTTCAGGTGTGGTATGAGTTACTCTGTGACCTGTGTTTTGTTGTCTAAGACAGTTAGATAGATGTGGATTACCTGTCAGGGGTGGTATGAGTGTCACTGTAACCTGTGTTTTGTTGTCTAAGACAGTAAGGTAGATGTGGATTACCTTTCAGGTGTGGTATGAGTTTCTCTGTGACCTGTGTTTTGTTGTCTAAGACATTAAGATAGATGTGGATTACCTGTCAGGTGTGTTATGAGTTTCTCTGTGACCTGTGTTTTGTTGTCTAAGCCAGTAAGATAGATGTGGATTACCTGTCAGGGGTGGTATGAGTGTCACTGTAACCTGTGTTTTGTTGTCTAAGACAGTTAGATAGATGGGGATTACCTGTCAGGTGTGGTATGAGTTTCTCTGTGACCTGTGTTTTGTTGTCTAAGACAGTTAGATAGATGGGGATTACCTGTCAGGTGTGGTATGAGTTTCTCTGTAACCTGTGTTGTGTTGTCTAAGACAGTAAGATAGATGTGGATTACCTGTCAGGTGTGTTATGAGTTTCTCTGTGACCTGTGTTTTGTTGTCTAAGCCAGTAAGATAGATGTGGATTACCTGTCAGGTGTGGTATGAGCTTCTCTGTAACCTGTGTTTTGTTGTCTAAGACAGTTAGATAGATGTGGATTACCTGTCAGGGGTGGTATGAGTGTCACTGTAACCTGTGTTTTGTTGTCTAAGACAGTAAGATAGATGTGGCTTACCTGTCAGGTGTGGTATGAGTTTCTCTGAAACCTGTGTTTTGTTGTCTAAGACAGTAAGGAAGATGGATATTACCTTTCAGGTGTGGTATGAGTTTCTCTGTAACCTGTGTTGTGTTGTCTAAGACAGTAAGATAGATGTGGATTAGCTGTCAGGTGTGGTATGAGTTTCTCTGTAACCTGTGTTTTGTTGTCTAAGACAGTAAGGTAGATGTATATTACCTTTCAGGTGTGGTATGAGTTTCTCTGTAACCTGTGTTGTGTTGTCTAAGACAGTAAGATAGATGTGGATTACCTGGCAGGTGTGGTATGAGTGTCACTGTAACCTGTGTTTTGTTGTCTAAGACAGTAAGATAGATGTGGATTAGCTGTCAGGTGTGGTATGAGTTTCTCTGTAACCTGTGTTTTGTTATCTAAGACAGTAGGTAGATGTGGATTACCTGCCAGGTGTGGTATGATTTTCTCTGTGACCTGTGTTTTGTTGTCTAAGCCAGTAAGATAGATGTGGATTACCTGTCAGGGGTGGTATGAGTGTCACTGTAACCTGTGTTTTGTTGTCTAAGACAGTAAGATAGATGTGGCTTACCTGTCAGGTGTGGTATGAGTTTCTCTGAAACCTGTGTTTTGTTGTCTAAGACAGTAAGGAAGATGGATATTACCTTTCAGGTGTGGTATGAGTTTCTCTGTAACCTGTGTTTTGTTGAGATTAAGATGCTGTAGACAGGTGGGACACGAGGTTAGATACTCGATCATCCCTGTGTCGGTAACTCCTTGTTGTCTAAGACAGTTAGATAGATGTGGATTACCTGTCAGGTGTGGTATGAGTGTCTCTGTAACCTGTGTTTTGTTGTCTAAGACAGTTAGATAGATGGGGATTACCTGTCAGGTGTGGTATGAGTTTCTCTGAAACCTGTGTTTTGTTGTCTAAGACAGTAAGGAAGATGGATATTACCTTTCAGGTGTGGTATGAGTTTCTCTGTAACCTGTGTTTTGTTATCTAAGACAGTAAGGTAGATGTGGATTACCTGCCAGGTGTGGTATGAGTTTCTCTGTGACCTGTGTTTTGTTGTCTAAGACAGTAAGATAGATGTGGATTACCTGTCAGGTGTGGTATGAGTTTCTCTGTAACCTGTGTTTTGTTGAGATTAAGATGCTGTAGACAGGTGGGACACGAGGTTAGATACTCGATCATCCCTGTGTCGGTAACTCCTGTCTCCTCCAATGACAGTGCTGTCAGACACTTAAACTCTGCAACAAAACAGGTCAATTAGTAAACCCAAACTAAAGAATAAACTGCTTCTGGGATGCTTATGATAACAATTCAATGATGTGACAGTTCTTGTACTATTAGAAGTTGACATTAAATAGGATTATAAACCAGAACAAGAGGCCCAATGGGCCTGCATCGCTCACCTGGTATTAATCTCACACTTGTAATCTTAAAAGTGGACTAAAATACAGCTACAGGCAGAATATCAGGGTTTGATTCATAAGGACCTATTAAAATATTTAAACATATGACGCCTGTGACCTTGAATGTCGAACAAGGACATCAGGTTGAAAGTGGATCAATGTCATTCATTTGAACAAACTTGGTAGTCCTTCATCCCAGCATGCTACAGGCCTAATTTCAGTACCCTTGGCCTTTTAGTTATTGAGAAGAAGTCGTTTGAAGATTTTACGACATTTGACCCATTTGACCTTGAAAGTTGGTCAAGGTCATACATTTTAACAAACTTGGTAACCCTTCATCCCAGCATGCTACAGGCCCAATATCAGTACCCTGGGCCTTTTGGTCATTGAGAAGAAGTTGTTTGAAGATTTTAAGACATCTGACCCCAGTGACCTTGAAAGAGGGTCAAGGTCATTCATTTGAACAAACTTGGAAGCCCTTCATCCCAGCATGCTACAGGCCAATATCAGTTCCCTGGGCTTTTGGTTATTGAGAAGAAGTTGTTTGAAGATTTTAAGACATTTGTCCCCTGTGACCTTGAAAATTGGTCAAGATCATTCATTTTTACAAACTTGGTAGCCCTTCATCCCAGCATGCAACAGGCCCAATATCAGTACCCTGGGCCTTTTGGCTATTGAAAGGAAGTCGTTTGAAGATTTTAAGACATCTGACCCCAGTGACCTTGAAAATTGGTCAAGATCATTTATTTGAACAAACTTTGTAGCCCTTCATCCTAGCATGCTACAGGCCTAATATCAGTACCCTGGGCCTTTTGGTTATTGAGAAGAAGTTGTTTAAAGTAAAAAGTTGACGCCGGACAGACGGACGACGGACAGACGACGGACGCCGCACCATGGCATAAGGTCACTTGCCCTTCGGGTAGGTGAGCTAAAAAATGTGTATCTGATTTTTTTTTAAATATGGAAAGTAACAGTTTCTGCAAGTACTTGTGAATTGAAAGTACTGTCCTTTCCAATCAATCAAGTATATTTAAGGAAACATCAGACATCATTCAACAGTTATCACGGGACAAAGACATGATTTTCCAGTAAATGTTCACTGATAATGGTACTGCATTCACAAGATTCCTCTCAAATCAATTTTGCCAGTAGGCCCCTGTTTCAGTGCAACTAGGACACTATCACATACACAATTTTATACTGATCTTTTTACCGGTAATGAAATCTGAAAAATAGATATATCTTTCACAAGCAACACAATTTTGAGCAGTTTATAAAACCTTGATGTAATTCCTCTTGTTTCATTTTCCATCCTACTTATCTATATATAGAAAAAATCCACTTTATAATGCCTGAATTTCTCTAGACAAATGGTGACAGTATAACAAATTTATTCTTCAATGGACTAAACTACAGTTGTCACTGATCTACTCACCGATAATGGCAGCCAGACATTTATTGGATAACTGCTTACAACTGCTCAAGTCGAGATGTTTTAATTTTTTTAAGACTGTGAATAAGAATGTCCATCAACAAGTTCAATAACATCATTTTTAACACTAGACATGCCAACATTTATATTTTACATGCAAGACAAGAAAAGGACTGTTTCACCAGATATCCTATATATGAAACAGTCTCAAATATAAGTTTTATTCAAGATAATAATCTCTTCAGTGTTTTTTTCTTGGGGCTTTCTGGGGCCCATAATGGACCCATATCCCAGCTGAACCTATTTCATATTTATGCCTAATTCCCAAATTTGCAGTTCACTCCTGAAAAATTCTTTCCCAATTGGTATATTTTCTTCTTAAAATGAGACAAAGAGGTCCCATCCAGAATTCATGGGAAAAAATGCTCTTCCTATCACAAAGTTCTTGAATGAGTCACAAAATACACAATCTCATTGGAATGCAATTATGGACTGTAAAGCCAATTATACAATTTGAGGTACATTATCCTCAACAAATTTTATGCACACATGTACATCAAATCCTAGAATGAGGCAGAAAATATTGATGTAATATTGATAACTTTCTTACCTACAAGGGGTTTGAGACCAGCATCTGTAATAAGCGTACATGACCGCAGACTGAGGTGTACCAAATGAGTATGAAACCTACAGCAGAAAGAGTGCAACGGTGTCAACAAGATCAAACAATTTCAACCATGAAATAATAAAAAATGATGATAATTAAAATGCTTTTAATTCAGACATTACCTGCACTTTCAAATTGACATATTATACGTGATAAAATTTGTGACAAAATAATCCCTCGATCATATATCAGAAAAGTTAAATGAACTGTCTGTAATCTGATAAAGTTTGTTTCATACAATAAATTAACTATTTCATTGACCAATCCCCAAACCCTCTTTTGCTGTCAGACCCTGCAGGTAGGGCGTCAGAACTGTACCTGCTGCCCCCATTGCCGAAACTGGCTGAAATATACCAGAGTCTGTAAAAATGGTAGTTTCTACGCTCAGCAATTAAGGAGTGGGACGACTGGTTCGCCTGTTGTCAGTATAATGTGACCGGGTGGGGTGTCCTGCTGGGTGTCTTCGGCAGTATATATCAGTGAGGTAGTACTATAAAGTCGGCATCAGTTCCGCGCTTTCACAAGGAGACAAACACGAACATGCTGCAGCCTCCCAAAACACACACGCATACACTACATGCATGCATCTTGCACACAGGGGAGGCCGTTCTTAGATAACCCGTTGATAGAACGTTAAACAATACTAAACCAAACCAAAATCTTTGCTGCCAAGTTGTCTCGTAGCTGAAAATGTTCACGGAGATGTGGAATAGTGATAGAACAATGAAACCTTACAGCTGTGTCCCACATTGGGAAGTTGGGAAAAAGTAACAGCACAACATAGCAGTAAATACCTAAAATTCCTTTCTCTTAACTTCATTTTACAAACAGCAGAATTGCATCATCTATGTCAAACTTCATAAAGTGCACAGTGTGGTCAATTCTGTCACACATTTCAAGTGTCATTGATAACGGTACTGTGCGTTTGATTCACAATTATAATTTGAATTATCATAGAAAAGTGTATGAGAACAAGAAGCCCAGAGGGCCTGTATCGCTGATCACCTGGAAACATAAGCAAAATTGAAGTTGGAATAGCTAGATGTTGCTGGTAGTGAATATATACATTTCTACAGTAAAAAGAGGATTTTGAAGAATTTGCTGTTTCCCCTATTGGGCCCCACCCTCTGCCCCCCAGGGGTCAGACCAACAGTTGATGAAAAATTGGTTCCTCTTCACATAAGGATACTCCACACCAAATATGAACCAAATCCTTTCATTCCTACGGAAGAAGAAGGATTTTAAAGAATTTGCTATATTTCCCCGATTGGGCCCTGCCCCTTAGGCCCCTGGGAGGCAAGACCCATCGTTTATACCAAATTTGTTCCTCTTCACCCAAGGATGCTCCACACCAAATATGGACCAAATCCTTTCATTCCAACAGAAGAAGAAGGATTTTAAAGAATAACTTGCTATATTTCCCCTATTGGACCATGCCCGTCAGGCCCCTCTGAGGCCAGACCAACAATTTATATAAAATTGGTTCCTCTTCACCCAAGGATGCTTCATACCAAATATGAACCAAATCCTTTCATTCCTACAGAAGAAGAAGGATTTAAAAAAAAATGCTATGTTCCCCCTATTTGGCCCTGCCCCTCAGCTCCCTGGCAAGCCAGACCCATCCTTTATACAAAATTGGTTCCCCTTCACCCAGGGATGCTCCACACTAAATATGGACCAAATCCTTTCATTCCTACATAAGAAGAAGGATTTTAAAGAATAATTTGTTATATTTTCCCTATTGGGCCCTGCCCTTCAGGCCCCTGGGGGGCAAGACCCATCCTTTATACAAAATTGGTTCCCCTTCACCCAAGGATGCTCCACACCAAATCCTTTCATTTCTACAGAAGAAGGATTTTAAAGAATTTGCAATATTCCCCCTATTTGGCCCCGCCCCTCAGGCCCCTGGGGGGCCAGACCCACTGTTTATACAAAATTGGTTTCTCTTCACCAAAGGATACTCCACACCAAATCCTTTCATTCCTACAGAAGAAGAAGGATTTTAGAAGAAGAATTTTGCTATATTTCCCCTATTGGGCCCTGCCCCTCAGGCCCCTGGGGGGCAAGACCCATCGTTTATACAAAATTGGTTCCCCTTCACCCAAGGATGCTCCACACCAAATCCTTTCATTTCTACAAAAGAAGGATTTTAAAGAATTTGCAATATTCCCCCTATTTGGCCCCGCCCCTCAGGCCCCTTGGGGAGCCAGACCCACCGTTTATACAAAATTGGTTCTTCTTCACCCAAGTATGCTTCACACCAAATTTTGTTGAAATCTGCTCAGTGATTCATGACTAGTAGTGTAAAGACACCGGACGCCGCACCATGACATAAGCTCACTGGTCCTTTGTTGAGTTAAAAAAAAAACATTGTCTCCCCTAGGCCTGTGTGATGTAGACAGATAACTTTCAACCTTTGGGATAAGATTTTTGAGGTTCTGTACTTAACCTCAAGACGAACCCTGATAACATTACCCTCGGATTGAGATTTCTCTGTCTTACTCATACAGGAGTGATGGATTCTATTACAGCTACAGCTATACTGTTATTACCTGGCAGACATCAACAGTTCATTTGAGGCGTATGGGTAACAATCTAGTATCAGCTTTCGGAGGTAACTGAAACGTAAATGAAACAAATGCTTAGTAGTGTAAAGTATATTGAGCAAGAAATATCTTTATGAGATGTCAGTACACTTATAATGACAATCAATAGGGGAGTATATACTGTTCAAATACTAAATTTAGGTACATTCAAATTTTCAGGTATTATCAAATTTTAACAGATTGATGTATTTATGAACTGGTGCACTCAGGATATATGTAATTTAGAACATTTTAGAACATATGGAAACTTAAATGAGTGCAAATATAAATATGAATATAATTTAGTACAATATTAAAAATTAAAGTGCAAAAAAACACTAAAAGAAGATTACAGTAAAATGATTTTAAAGACAATTTCGTTCGGAGTACACCAGACACTGTTCTTTCTGGCAGTAGCATTTTCAGGCACAAATAAGTAGGGAGCAAAATAAAACTGGTTCTATTCCTTTGGAGTCACATCCTGTTCTATACGTTTATATATTATGCCTCATTCATATAACAGCTTATATTGAGTACATCACAAATGATGTAAAAAATATGTTTATTCATGTATTTCTTTCCCCGACAAGCAACTGCCATATTTTTCTCCTACGATCGCATCTTCCTTTAATACTCAATCATGTTATGGTTTGGTCTATAAAATATAGATCATCATCTAGACTTTTTAGTGGGTTTTTTTCTTAGTTGATATTTTGTTAAATAATACAATATCTATAAGCTATTTCCTTTGTATATGTATTTGGGGAAAATATTTGTTTTTCCCTCATACCTGGACTATAATAATTGGATGAAGCAAGGAATGTTTTGTGTGGGTGGTAGTTTATCAACTCCTTGAGAACAGTATAAAGTGTAACACGAGATGAAATTCTTCGGTTTATCAGTTTAATATTGGTATGATTATTTTCCTGACATTGGATGATAAGTATGTACTTGCACTTTTCACTCTGTTTTTAATGATATTGTTTTGCTTTTCTTTAAACTATTTTGGTTGTAGGGGTGAATCAATTAACAAAATGTTCTCCACTGACTATCTCTTTATGTACACATGATTTCCTTACCTGAAAGTGTTGCAAGGCTTTAACCAGCACCTTTCAGAGTTTAACTATTGACAAATTACAGAGTTCCTCAGAAACTGTTCAAATGTTTTTATCAAACTTGATTTTTTGACGCAAACTTTTCATCATCGATTCCTTCATACTTTTTTTTTTTACTGATTTTTGCATTTTCTAGAATTTTTTACATTTTTAATTTGGAGATAGAACAGGTGTTCTGTGACCTTTTGGGGGACAGCTCACAAGGTCCTCCAAAGCTTTGTGGCAAAATTTTTGACTGTTCCTTGAACAACCAGTGAAATCAATCGTATATACTGTACCATGGGATGAAAGCGTTGAGTATCTTGGATGTTAGGAGTTTGTTTTTTATTAGATATTCTAGCAGCCTCTGGGCCAGGCTCTCAGAAAGACCTCCAAGAGAGTAGAGTTGATTGCGAGGGTCCTTGAGTCGTCTGGAGAGGTGACAAAGGCAGTGAGAGAACAGCGGCTGGACACTGAACAGGGAAGAAGATGCTACCTCTGCTTGGTTGTCTGCTGGCAGAGGAGCTGCTGCTGCTGGCTGGGCATATCTCTCTCTTGCTTTCACAGCTGTGATAAAACAAGCATGATTTCATCAAGCGTAAATAATAATTTTGCTCAGTTCAAGTACAATATTCACTTAATACCAATAGCTATTACACCAAGAGTCATGGGTTTGCCTCCTGGTGGAAACCAAGACTTTAACTAGGCCTTCTTTCTCCATATAGATTGGAAACTGAGAAATTAATGGCAGTAACCAACCCTACAACCCTCTATTCAAGCACATTTACTTACACTGACATGTTTCATACAGCCATTTCACTTTTTTTTTTTAATTGGAAGCACCTGCTGGTGACAAAGTTCAGCTGGATTATTAATTTTTGATGTGGCCTTGAATGGGACAGTCCGACTGATAGTGTAAGCGAAATATAAATGTTTCAAGCTACCACATCGGGAAATGTGGGGATTTTTTAGATGGTGGAAGTGAAATGGGGTAAAATCTGTCATAAGACTCGGACTATTTCAGTTGCTGGTCTATATTGTCACCACACGTCAGTTTATAAACACTGAAAGCATTTCATTTTAATAGGAAGAGTCTTTGATTCTTACATGCCATTTCACATGCTGACTTGTTGTGGTTCTCCACTTGCTGAGGGTGTCCCTCGGGCACCAGACGCTGCCCAACTCCCTGGAAAGCCTCATCAGCATGGGCACCTCCTCCAAAGCCCATCCCCAGGTTGTTACCTTCATAACACATAGACAACATGAACCCTGCTCAAGTGATGACTTTTAACAACAATCAGTTTATAAGCCATATGCATGCTGCTTCATTTTAAATCCAACTGAAGGAAACATGCAGCAGGTACTAGTAATTAAATTTTAAATGTTGAAAAATCCCTAATTTGCTTATGATTCTGAGTTATGTCAATACAATTATCTTATAAATATGTTCCAATATAATTACTGATGCACCTTTGAAATAGAAGTTAATTAAATATAACTGATTGCTAAACTTTGTACAGGTTTTTCTTACCCCAGGGGAGGCCGCCACCACCACCTCCACCTCCTCCAAATCCGTGGCCAAAGTGATCATGTCCAGGGACAACGTCCGGTCCCTCATCATCGTCAGCATCCTCGTCTGGTTCAGCACCCTCACCTAGATCAACCGCAGGCAAGGAAACAATTGACATCACCAAACAAAAAAACATGGTGAGGAAGATAACCTTTGTAAATTTCAAAATTTCAATCTCAACAAAGTTTCACAGACATTTGTTAAGAAAGAATCTGTCAAAACATACTTGGTTTAATTACATTGTATATATCAGTTCCACTAATGGCATTGCATGTACAATTTGACTTGCCAGGCTCATATCTGAAATCTATCAACTTTGATCAAAATCTGTTAATAATTGAAGTAGCTAGAGTGATAACACTTAATCGTTTGATGACTTTCTATATAAAGTAAGTGATCTTGGCCTTAACCTTCGAACCCCTAAAAACGATGATGTCGGAGGTATAATCATACCTGACCTTTGTATAATTTTTTATCAAAATCTGTCATGAAATAAAGTTGATAGACTGATGACACTGAATTGGTTGATGCTTTTCTATATATCAAATCACAATTATAGTGATCTTGGCCTTGACCTTAACTTGGAATCCTAAATTAAAACACAGACATGTCAGAGGTATTCTCATACTTGACCCTTGTATAAAGTTTGATCAAAATCTGTCAACGAATGAAGTTGCTAGAGTCTTTACATTTAATATGGTGGTTAATAAAAAGAGGGAGACTGGTACTGATCTACATGATCCAGGACACTGCAGGAATCACTTTTGTAACATACCTAAATCTGGCAGAACTGGCTGATCATCTTCCTGTCCAAGAACATGACCTTGACCCCAGGACTGTGATGGCCCAGGCACTATGTCGGGCATGCCTAGTGGGTTAATTCCCAAAACAGGTGGCATCTGTGGCATTCCAGGAGGTAGGTTTTGTGGCCCCCCAAAACCACATCCACCTCCATCAACACCAAATGTTGGTGGCAGCATTGGAGGTGGCCCCTGGCCCCCAAGGGACCTGAGTCCAGTGGAACCTCCCTTGGCCCCTGGTGTGCCATAGGTCAAACCACTGAACTTGTTAGATCCTGTAGCACCTTCGGATTCCTCTGTATCCATTTCTGATGAATTTAAGAAACATGTTAATGTCATCAAAACGGAGATCTGTAACCATATTTTCTAGTGATTAATCACCACTTTGTTTTATTCCTATTTGAAATATTTGACTGGCAAATAAACTTGCATTTTACTTAAATGAGGATGACACAAGACCAATTTTTCATAGAACAGTATATAATGATATATATATATGAAGATATATGGTATTATTGAAACCTCCTAGATGAAGTTTTATAACATGACTTCCATTAAATAAACCCTTCAAACCTTAAGACTTAATTATCAACATTAAATGATTTCCCTAATCCTGTTCTCCCCTTCAGTACTGACCTGTAGTTTTGGAGGCTGCCTCTTTCTTCTCTATTTTCCTCAGAACCACTGACCCTGAAGGAGTCAGGCCGAGGTCCTGTAGGGATGTTTCCATGTCAGGTTCCCCTAATTCTCTGTGAGGAAATGGCTGACCAAGAAAATTCAAATAATAATAATTAAAACTTTGATTGATTAGAAAAAATACAGCATATTGTACACAATATGGAAATAAATTCAGTGACTGGGTTGCCACACCATGGCCATTAATTTTTGGTGAAGCAAGCCTGAAAACCAGTGGCTTCTTTTTTATATTTACAATTTAGTATTTAGTATTTATAATACTTCAAAAATCTTGAAAACAAATACCAAACAAATTCAATAGTTGGGCTAGTTTGATGTTAAATTACACTAGGCTAGTGGCTCTTTATTCACCTTAAAGATAACCTCTGTGCTAGTGAATCTAGTAGTAATAACAGTTTGTATCAAATCGACATTTAATAAAGGCTACAACACCATATCACTGTAAGCATAAATACTGGATAGATGTTATCTTTTAACCTGTCAATATTTGACTTTCCTATGCAATTGTGTACAGAAAACTGTGCTGTATTTGTTTATGATGTACCTGAATCAAACACATTCCATTGAGGGAGCTTTTCTGATGTGTTTTCACAAACTGCCAAACTTCCTTCAGTCCAGCAGAGGCAGGAAAGGACTGGCGTACAGACCCACCATCCATCATCCTGATCTGAACAAGCAGACACAAAAAACAAAAGACATTAAAAACTGGTGACTTTACAAATATTAGCAGCTTACAATTAATTTCAGAAAAAAAATGAAATTTATTAAAGATGCATATACTTCACAGCAATAGTTAATTAAGCATTTCTATTTTACACGAGATTTTGTGACATACAATTGACTTGCCTGTAAAGAATGTATTTGTATGTATTTGACTGAAAACAAACTTTTCTTGGGATTTTTTTTGTCTGTACACTTTATATCATGCTTAATTAAAATAGTATAAAGGTATTGTTTTTAAAAATTACAAAAATAAAAAACAAGTTTAAATCAAACTAAATTATATTTAAGATTGAACTTTCAGGAAAATGTTCTGCTCCTGTAAGCTTCAGTTCCTATCTGCCTAACCTGTAGCAGACATTTGCCACCAGCTGGGGTGGAGGTTTTGACAGGTGGTGTCTTTTCCACAGGTGCACTGTCCTGGGCAGGACTGGGGCTTTTCTCAGTTGGTGGAGTTTCTGCCGTGCCTCCTTGATGAAACATTTTCTGCTTCTCTCTATCATCAGCTATCTCTTTAAGGACCCTTGCATGATCCTGAAGATATAACATATCTTAAAATATGTATCTTATTAGTAAAACACCTTAAATGACTTCAGATGTTAGTAGGACGCTAAACCAAATTAACCAAACTACAAAACCAAACCAACCTGTAAACCTACCGTATGTTTTTCATAGCACCTCAAACCCAATGTAAATAGATTTGAAAAAACTGTAATCTATTATTTTTATTTATATTACAAAGCTTACTATTATTAAGTCTTATATTATATATCTCCATTAATAACAAGCTATATTTTCTCTCTTAACACAAATTTATTTCTAAATTATCTCCCCTTGTAATGTCTCGTAGAGTTCAGCCATTGCCATATTGTCTCAATACCCACTGACACCAAAAACTTAAATGCAAAGAAAAACATAACTGTAGTTATAATATATAGGAAATGTATCTCACCTTTATTAATACATAAGCTTGTAATTTCCAAGGACACAAACCTTATATAATCTCCCTATACCCACAGCCTTAAATTAAAGTGTGATTATAATGGGTAGTCAGTGATTTTTGTAACGGCGCAGTTTATGATGACTTTGTCTAACATATTGGTCCAAAGCAGAAGGCCAAGGACCAATATGATAGACATCTGCCTAATAACAGATCCAATTTAAAAAATTACTGATAAATGAGTATATCTTTATTGATTAAATGTCGTTCTGTATTTCTTTACAATAACAAAATATACCACACAGAAAATAATGCATATGTGCATCATTTTCTAGGGATGCATGCAAGGACAGAAGTTATTGTGAGAACATTAGATATGGCACACTTTAAGATATCAGGCTGCTGTCAAATATAAGGATTTGAGGGACAATATTATATTGCCCAAGTTTTGACAATTTCTTCAATATCAGCCTTATTTTTCAGTGACATTAACCAAGTATTTTTTCATTATGCATTACATTACTAATATAGATGTAGTTCATTATGGAATGAAATTTATTTTTCAACATTCATGAGTTCATAACAACATTGGCTTTCTGGACATACTCCACGAATTGCATTAGCGAACACTATATGACAATATGTTCTACACTTTAACCAAACTACTTTATAATATATACCCTTTTCCGTCTCTGTTTATCTTTCAGGGCATCCTGTCTGGCCTCATCCATCTGTTTCATTTCAAACCTCTGCTTGGATTTTCTTTGCTTCTCACTCAAATGTAGTCTGCTGAGTACTGATTGAGTTTCATCCTCGACTGAACTTTGACCTTGCCCATCTGACTGGCTCATTTCCTGTTCGTCAACTGTAGCAGGGTCCAATGGCCTTGTTTCAGAACTAGCAAATGGGTTTGCACCTTCTTTGAAGCTAGACCCATCCTAAAATGAAGAAAACAATTATGTTTAATCCCAATGCTTGTATATATGTGTCATGAACGTTTTCAGAACAGTAACAACTTTCACAATGTATCTCCTATTTCTCTAAAACTTTATTTATTTTTGTTTTGTTTCAAATACAAACTTTAACAAGCAAATTCGTGGAATTTATATCCCCCGCTTGCAGGACATATTGTAGGTAAACATTATTGAGGTTAGATTTAACATGTGAGTATTGTGCTGTTGAGATATAATGTATAGCTTGAAACTCAAAGAAAAAAAAAATGCCTTTTACAGAAGTTAGACTTTTTTTAAACATGTAGGTATTACGGTGTAAATTACTTAGTAATCGTTTAATCTAATCCATCAGAATTTACTAACCTCATTAATTATCCATAAATATGCACAAATAACATCAGTTGACAAACTTAGCATGAGTCAGATGTGCATACAGAATTTGGTTGAAATATCTGAACAACATCTACAGCAATTATCACACGAAAACCAAAGAGTGCACGAGATGGGTGGAAAGACAGAGGAACACAAAAATTGTTATCAAGTTTGAAGGAATTTGGCTAATATTTGCTAGAGTTATTAAGCGGAACTTGGTTGAGCCCTTAAGGCATTTAACCCTGGTACCAAGTTTAAAGAAAATTGGTTAACATTTGTTGCAGTTATTGCACGGAAACGGCAGATAATGATGTTTTTTGTTATTCAAGGGGCCATTTTCTCCGCCAAATAAAGTCCGCTGAAAGTGGTCATCGAACTTGGCCAAGCCCTTAAGGCATATAACCCTGTTACCAAGTTTGAAGAAAATCGGTTAACATTTGTTGCAGTTATTGCACGAAGCGTGACAGACAGACAGACAGACTGACTGACAAACCCAAATTAATATCTCCTGTTTCGGAGAGAGGGGGATAAAAAGAATTAACAGCAGTCAATGCTTTTAGCAAGCTAGGGCTGTTCTGAATTAGATCATATCAATACAATTATATTAAGACTCTGTTTAGAGGTATGACATATGTTGCCCCTGACATCAGCGAGTTGAACCAACCCATACCAGCACACAGAGATTCAAATACTGTGAAGCATTCGTGACCTCAAATTGACAGGGGCTAGTTTTGTGACATTAACTTGATTCAACTGGGTTACAGAAATAACTCTCAATACCTATTTAATACATGTACAACTGTTTATCATTCTAGGAATTATCTTTATTCCAGCCTTTTACAATGGTGAACTGATTGTTGTTTGTACTAAAAGTATCATGGGCAATTAATAAGCCATATGTGATACTATGCTATATTCCCTTATGTACATTCAAAAGATAACATTGGTAACACATACCTGTCGTAGTTTGAGACTTGGTGCTCCATCTGACACCTTCTGGTATCCTGGTTTACCAGCAATCAACCTGACATTATATAGATAAATTGTAATAAAACATCTTTTAAAGCTGTATCAACATTTTAGTTATACATGTACAATGATGATCTGATTATTGCTTGATCTATAAATATCATGGGAAGATCAGATTATAAGATGCAATACATTTGCAAACATTTTGTCCTAAAGAAAGTGTCACTAGTCTTTAATCAAGTAAAATTAGTGAACACATTTCTACTGTATATACAATGTAAATGCATATACAGTAAAAATGTAACATTTAGTAAAAGAATACTTCAGAATATGTCTACAATCAAATGTTCTTAAAAACTAACTCAATAAGGTGAACACAAAGATACTGGAACTGTACTAAACAATAATCAGAGTCTCGAAAAATGAGTGTTAGACTTTTATGACTTTCTTGACCAAGTTAATTATCTGCATGAGTACCATTCCACTGCTGCCTCTACAGCAATCTTCCCTGATTGAATAGCATCTTGTGCATCCTGCCAGTCAAAGCCCATTGACATCAGGCACACGATCACGTCATCAACACTCTGAAAATAAACAACTTTTTTTTAAAGGTGTAAATTATTGCTTATAATGAAAATGATTTACATAACTATAATACAAAGTTCAGGCCATTATATGCTGTTCTGAAACTTTTTCAAGGTTTGAAATCTTAATCAGATTCCTTTCTAAGCTGATGTCACGTCATTATTACCGACTGATAAAGGAATTTTCTACTATGATTTGCTCAAGCTCTTAGCTCCAGAGCATTGGACTAGTGATCCATAGTCCTAGATTTGACTCCTAGCTGATCAAGCATCTAGAAAAACTGTGGCGGCAGGATTCATTATTGCAAAATAAAATTATTTCACATTATTTCCAGAATAGCAATAGAACATGATAAACTGCTTTATGCCTGATGTCTATTTTATCATAAAAAAAGGGAAAAGGAAAAAAGATTTCAATGTAGATTTGGAATATATATACTAACATTTATCCGTAATGATATTGGTAAGATTAAAACCATTTACAGACCTATATATAGGACACCAAGCTTTCCATCTTTTTCTCAGACACAGTCCTAAGAGATATTTGTATGCATTTCTATGACCCTGTGATTTTAACCTTTGACCTCAAAAGTCCACTTAAACCAAGAACTTGTTAATGTAACTGATATACATGTATCATTACCTACTTATATTGTGAATCTGACTTCTATGTATCACTTCCTGTTTTTCTCTGTAAACATAATCATATTGCCTTTCTATGCAACATTTGTGGTTTGGATGATTTGTTATGCAATGTAAACAATCCTGCTGTTGTCATGTAAATTCAAGGCCACTTATTCATAAAGTTGTACAACACTTCAGAGGAGTTTAGAATACCTGATCATCCACCAATTTACACAATGAGTCATGTTGTATTATTGTACAATACATAAAATTGTTTTTATATTGGTCATAAAGCATTTAATATATTACATTTAAACCTTAAGATAATGTAGCAGACTAAGAATATGAGGGGATAATACAGACTGGCAAACTAGATATTCCAGCGTTGCAGTAAGACTTGCTTTTTGTTTTGTTTTCAAAACCTAAATCTCACCTGTCGGTGACCCCCTACCCTCTCATAACACCTTGTCACCTTTTATTTTTATTTAACAATTGTTGTCTTTTTTGATGCATTTTGTGTATATTACCTAGCTCCTATATACTGCATTTTTGTTCTGGTCAAATGTGTGGTGGCAGCTTTTAATCAATTGGTAATGTCCAAAATTGACAGTTTATACATGTGTCGTTGAAAAGTAACATTCACCAGCAACAATATGTCATTTTCTATTATGAAATCAGATGTGAATTGGAAGCATCTTGCAGTTGCACCACCCATGCAAGTGGAGGATCACAAAAAGAATAAATCTGCTGTTACCCACCGCATGTGTATCGTAAGAGGCGACTAATGTTGGAACCCCTGCAGAATTGGGGATTTGCTTTTGTGCCCTTTACATAGGGACAAAAAGCGACCAAAACAAATCTGCTGCACCCATTGCAATAACTGGGATATTTATATTTCTTTCTACTTCTAACTAATCTTCTTTTCCTTGCACCTTTCTTAGGAACACTTCACTTTTGACTTTTATATTGAACGTTTGCCCAGGTGCATGAAGAAGGCATAAGGTACTGTCTCCAGGCCGGGACATACCAAAGTCCTTAAAAATGGCAGTTGTTATTCCCTGCTTAACATTCAGCATTTAGGGTATTGACAACTGGTTTACCTGTTAACATTGTCAGTATAATGTGACTAGGGGGAATGCTATGCTGAGTGCCTTCGGCATGGTATTTCTATGAGACAGCACTATAAATTAAAGTGGGCATCAGATCTGCGCTATCACAAGGAGGCAAGTACACTGACATACCCTGTCTCTAGCATGCACGCTTACACAACACACCTGGAGACATGTCCTTAACTGTAGGATGTTAAACAAAATAAAACCAAACCAAAAACGATCTTGACACTTTTTTTTTATATACAGATGTTTGGTTAATACGTATAACGTTAGTCTATATTTGTGAATATCCTAAATATCACGAAAACACAACACACCCCATCTTAACAATTTTGTCCATTACTACATTGCCTTGAACCTTACACTAGGCATACACTGTAGATTTTCTCTGTGACGGTGTTATTTTTAAGTGTTGAGCAATAGCTGAGGATGCAGTCTTGGTAGTTGCCTAAATGGATATTGCAGGCCCGTGAAAAAATCGCATGATTTCAGTATTTGTTGGACTACAGCACACACTAACTAGGCCAATTGTGATAATATACAACATGTGTCATAGAAATAGAAGATAACCACAGCAAGACAGTAACCGATACTGTCTCGGTGAATGTTGTACCATCTCGGCCCATGCAAAGCTCTGCAGCACTCCAGCAGACGCACTTCGAGTTCAAATACATTATACAGTAAAAGGATCTATGGACAGACAATTTCTGCGAAGAAAATATAACTTCAATATATCAACAACATATTTCACTCTAAAAAACGGACTCTGAAACTTCAGTCATGCAACAATAAGTGAAATACTTCCACCACTCTGACTCCGCATTACCTGTGTAGCCATTTTCCCAAAACATTCCTTTCGGAACACCTTGAAGATTATTATAAGCCTCCGCTTGAGAGACCATCTCAAAACCTAAAAGTAGACTCGCCATGTCATAAATAATCATTACGACAAGCTTCTGAAATGCCAATGTAAATATGACTATTACAAAACATGTCATTCAAACGGCATGACGCATAAAGGTCAAACTATTCTGGAATGCAATGTATATAAAAACTTTGAAAAGTATCAATTTGGGTACATATAATTTTCATAGGCTTATTTCACTTGGCCATCGAATAGTTATTTTGCTCCAAGTTCTGTCAATTCAACTCAAAAAATTATCACACTAAAATTATTTAAACGATAAAAGACAAAAATTATACACCAAAACCATATATCGATTTTTTTTTGTATTATACAGCGTACGTTTTAAGATAAGATAACTTTAAAATTACAACTTAAGATAACACAACTTGACTGCCAAGCACTGAGTACTGGCTGCTAAGAATTTTGGAAAAGGTGTTCAGTATGTTCCAGGAGGGTTCTGGTTAAGTTACCACTTTTTTGGACATTCACTTTGATTACATGTGTAATGGTGAGGATTGTCTCGCCTTACCAGAATTCCTACCATTAACCAAATACCTTTCACTGGACACTCAACATTCTAAGGACATACTCTAACGTTAGTGCAGGCAAATTCGCCATGCACCCAAATTCGCCTGCACCCAAATGCCCCACCCTGTGACAAAAATGCAATATGACGTCATAATACAAATTGTTGAAAGCCTTGAGCCACTAAAATATGGGCAACATGAAATAATGCAAAACTGATACATGCATGTAAGCTGATAAAAAATGTACCAGGACTTATTTGAAGCCATGCCTTGAGATGAGTTGGAAAATCAAATAGAAAATGAACTAAAAGAAAACAGAAAAAAACCACAAATAGAAAATATAACTAATTATATAAGAACGCAAGAAAATCTCGAACACACACTCATACACTCTAACACCACATATGCTTCTACTGGCATGGGTTTGTTGGTTTATTTAATGTAGTTTATATTTTATTTAAATTAATGTGCAGTTGGGCATTACATATGATAACAAAGTACACTAGTTCAAAGGATACAAATATATGGCATTTTGGTATTTCATAATATATCATTAGTTTTTCAATAATTAAATAAATTATAACTATTGATTTACATTACTCCGTCATACCTTAGGTGTCATGACCACATAAAGTCCCTGGGCATTTGTTGCCCGGTGGTCAATTAACATTGGTATATTATATATAAATATATAATTATATAAATATATATATAATTATCCACTATCAACAGAAATAATGAACTTATCTTACAGAATACAAACAATACGTCAACCACATACAGCTTGTATATTTAACTTAATTTAATCTATTTGAACCGTCCTGTAGCATTAACGTATTTATGCACACAATCCATCAATTGGTTGTTCTGTAAATCAGTATTATAAGTGTTACCATTTAGAATAGTATTTAAAGATATTGTATTATGGAAATCAACATAATTTAATATAAGATCATGCATAAGAGTTTTTCGTTCATCTGTATAGAGAGGAAATTCAAAAAAGAAATGGTAAGAGTTTTAAATTGCGTAACTACAAGGACAGTTTGGACTATTTTTCAAGTAATCTTTAAACAGATCATAGTTAAGTTGACCAGCACCATTTCTTAATGTCACATTGATATATTACTTTTTCGTGAACCAGAGTATTTAAATACATTTTGTTCTGTGTCCCCTACAATCGTCTTTTGTATTTCCTTTTTAAAAGTAATAAGAGTAGTTATATTAGTTAAGTTATTATCGGCACTGTTTCATATGTTCATCATACTGGGAAAAAAACTATTAGCATATAGCGTGGTTCTAGGAAGAGGCACATTGAAACTTCTTGAGTGCCCAAGATTGTGTGTATTTTCTTCTGGGTTTAATATATATGGTCGAATAATTTCATGTTGATAAGTTGGGGTTATTTTATTTGTTATTTTAAAGAAAGAGATGTGTTAATGTTTATCCCCCTTTTCTGTAAACTTTCCCATCCTGTTTCTTTATATAATATACAATGGCTAGTGCCTTTTCTTAGACCAGTAATTATCCTAACAACACCAAGCTGGATAGATTCCAAGAGATCTTTTATGGTCTTGTACAGTTATCCCATATAACACAAGCATACTCTAGAATAGGTCTGATAAGTGTAGTATACAATATTTCAAGTGCCTTTCTACACATTTTATATTTTAACATTCTTAGGACATTTACCCTTTTAGATGCCTTTTCAAAAATAAAGTGTACATGATGTGTCCAGTTACCTTGTTCATTCGAATAAACCCCTAGATGATTGTGATTTGTAATATTACTTACCTGGATATCATTAAATAGTAGGTGTGGATGTAGGTTAACTGCTTTAATTTTCTTATATACTACATAAGATTCAGTTTTGTCTGGGTTGAAAAGTATACCCCAATCATTTGCCCATTTTGATATTTTGCGTAAATCTTCATTCAGACTGTTAGCTGCTTGTTGATGAGTATTGTCTATTATTATGTATATGCCAGAACATAGCAAAAGAGGTACTGTAATCTACACCAAAGAAGAAATCGAGACTACAAATATAGAGTTTACACCATTCCAAAAATCAACCTGCCTTCAAATAAATCTCAAAAACAACGACAAACTGATAATATGTTGTGTGTACCGTAGTCCAAACAGTACTCAATAAAACAATGACCATCCTAATAAAAAAACCATCACATCTAATAATAGTCGGAGATTTTAACTATCGAGAGATCAACTGGGAAACCATGAACACAACAGTCTACGTCAGCCACCCTGCATCTATTTTTCTGGAAAATATACAGGACCTTTTTCTTTTCCAATGTGTCGACAAACCGACCAGATTTAAGGAAGGGAATGTACCCTCCTAACCCGACATCATACTTGTTAATGAAGAAAATGTGCTAAACAAGAGAGACGTAACCTATCTCCCCGTTATAGTGAAGAGTGACCGCATCACCATGTCTCTTACACTCAACTGCTATGTCGAAATTGAGCCATATAATGCACAACAAATTAGAAACTTCATAAGGGGAATTACTCTGCAATATAAGAGGATCTTGCACAAGCTGACTGGTTTAAATTCGACAACTGTCTCAACACGGAGGAAGCTTGGAACTGTTTTGTTGATAACCTATCAAATATTGTAAAGAAACACGTACCAGAGAACAAGCAATTCCAATGTAACTCTAAGAGACCACTCGACCACAAGACCATTGAATCAATCCACAAGAAACATTAAAAAAATACCTCCATTGTAAGACGGCTGAAAACTTCAACCAATTCAAGCAAGCAAGAAACGAGGAAACAGCTAACATCAGGCGATCAAACTATGTACACGAACACAAACTGGCTGATGAGATTAAAACCAATCTAAAGAAATTCTGGAAGTACGTGAAATCAAAAAGCAAAACAAAATCAACCATAAACAGACTTGAACAAACTAATGGAGAACATACACAATCTGACCAAGAAGCTGAGGACACATTGAACAATTACTTCTCCTCAGTTTTTGTCGAAGACGTGACGGGAGAACTCCCAAATATTACCATGAAAACACCAAACACACCACTGAACAGGATTGAAATAACTGTAAGGCTACTACATACACTTTCAAGTTTCGGTGTGGGAGGCGAAACCCTTAACTGGATAAAAGATTTGTTGAAGAACTTCAAACAAAAAGTAGTAGTGAACGTTCAGAGTCAAGTGCAATACACGTCACGAGCGGACCCACAGCGTTTTGGGTATATCGTTTTTGAGTTTTCTCGACGGCTGTGTCGTTGTGCGGCGTCTTCCCATAACACTACTGCATTGCAGCATTCCTGATCGTATAATCCATTAATAATTTTATATAGTTCGATCATGTCTCCTCTTACTCTTCTGAAGGCTTATGTTGGTAGCCGGAGTCTTTCCAATATCTGTATCTGAGGTTACTCATGCCTGGGAGGCACTTGGTTGCTCTTCGTTGCACTCCCTCTATCTTATCGATGTGCTTTTCAAGTTTAGGTATGGTGCCCAAACAGGGCTCGCGTAGTCCAATTGTGAGCGTACTAGGCATTTGTATAATGGAACAAACGACCTTTGATCCATAAATTGGAATGTTCTACTGAGGAGTGCAAACATGGAGTTCACTTTTTTTTAAAACTTTTTTACTTATGTGGTTATCAAGGGATAAATCGCAGTCTATGATAACCCCGATATCCTTTTTGTGGGTGATTGTCTGTAAGTTTTTCCCATAGAGATGATAGGTTGGTCCGGGGGTTTCCTATCCTCGTGTTGTCTCCTTACCCATCCTCATATGTTTGCAATTGTCGGGATGCATTTTAAGTAGCCATGTGTCGCTCCACTTACACATTGTATCTAGATCTTTCTGGAGATCAGCACTATCTTCACTGTTTTATATTATTTTAAAAATCTTGGTGTCATCTGCAAATAGATACATTTCTGACTGGACCGAGCTTGGAAGATCATTTACAAATATAACGAACAGCAAAGGTCCGAGTTGCTTGGGGGATTCCCGATGTGACATCGGTCCATTCAGAGTCCGCGCCGTTTACTGATACTTTCTGTTTACGACCTTTTAAAAATGTTGATATTCAAGAAAGTATTTGTTCTGAGAATTAATACGAATGTAATTTACTTATAAGCCGATTATGCGGAACGGTGTAAAAGGCTTTTTTATAGTACATATATATACAATCGATGTTCTTTCCTTTATACAGAGCCTCTGTCCATTTATCCAACACTTCTAGAAGTTGTAAGGAAGTTGACCTTCCAGATATGAAGCCGTACTGCTTCTGTGAGAAGTAATTTATATTTCTCGTGATCTTTGTTATGTGTTTCCTTATGACGGATTCCAAGTCGAATGACCGATGTTAAACTCACAGGCCGGTAGTTTCCTGCTACGCATTTGTCACCGTTCTTAAAGATGGCACAACCCCAGGCTTTTTTCCAGTCATCTGGTAGAGTTCCTGTTGTCAGCGATTGGTTGAACAGTTTCGTCAGTGGACAGGTTATTGTTGCAGCAATGTTTTTAAGAAACATTGGATGGAGTTCATCCAGTCCTGGAGACATTTCTGATTTGAGGGCTTTCGATAGTTATAGTACAACCTTTTGTTTTACTGTTAGGACGGTCATCTCTTCATGTACCCCTCTTTGATACAAGCGCGGTGTGATTCCACTCTCCTCCTCATTCACAAAGACATTACTGAAAAACGTACAAAGTATATCTGCTTTATCTTTGTCCTTTGTGATTTTTGTTTACTTTTCGTCTTCTGAGTTTGAGTAGAGATCTCCAATATTGGATTTAGTTGTTGATTTTGATTTTATATAGTTCCATATTGCTTTAGGGTTCGTTATGGCGTTTTTTGCAATGTTTTGTTCATACCCTTAACTTTAAAGATACGTCATAATCAGCTAGATGAGGGTATTTTATCATGACCTCACAATTTAAATCAAAATTGTGCAAATGGAGAAAGTTACGGAAAACGAAGAGAGCCATTCTTTCCTGGATTAGAAATATGTCAATCTGGTAAAATACTAGCCGCTTAATTCCTATCGACTCGGCTACCTTTTCCCTTTCTCTCTACCTTTTCCCTTTCTCTCATTTCTCTACATACGTTGTCCCTTCTATTTTCCTTCCCCCCTATCTTTTCTCGTTTGCTGAAAGGCCACATAGCGGAAGTAAACCCATAAAAAATGTCTCGACTAGAGAGAATTTCTCTTTAGCTCATTCGGTAGAGCATGAGACTAGTAAGCAAGAGGTTTCGGTCGGAGGCGTTGGGCATTGAACAAAATAATGACCTCTGTTAAACATATATATACGGTAAGTTTACTGCATGGGCTTGTTGTTTTTAGCAGTATAGCTTTACGTTTCTTAACATAAATTTAGGCGAAAGGATTTTATTTTTTTATTAATATTTTCGACGGTCAGATGATAGTTTTGATTTGACGTAGATCAATTGACGTCAAATATTGGTCAGTGACGTTTTGCATGACTAATTCAATTTGAATTTGACGTAAAATCGTTGTAACATTGCCTGCTGGATCGGTTATAGTTTAGTATCCAAACGCAGAAAACCCATAAAAAATATCGCGGTCCTGTTGTTCAGCACAGACAAAATTGTCCTTCATGCATAACTAATTATGGTGCGACACATTCAAATACTGCAACAGTTTATTGATGTGCATTTTAAATAAACTACTAAATGATCTTAAGTACAAAAGTAAGATTGTTGAGTAGACTGTTAATCATCACCAAAACACGTTAATTATGTTAACTGTACATAACTAAATAGTTATTTTAAGCATAGATGTAACCTTACAGCACGGAATTAGATTGCGATCTACAAGTTGCAAATCTCTGAAAGGAAGGGCGATAACTCCTGTAAACATACACGCGATAGTAGGCTAACCGTCTAAGGCATACACGAACCTGCATCTGATATGCAAAATTCGTACTAAAGTTAAGTTAAATAGAGAACGAACGAAATGCTTTGACACTTCCTCGTCCTGCTTTGCGCGATTTTTTTTAGACGGGACGCGTTGTGTAACGTCCCCTGATCGTGACCATGGCTAGTCACGTGCTATTGTTTACGTCAGCTGAGTCAAGGAACTCGTGACTGTGCCGTGTGCGACCAAGGCCTAATATTTTACATTACTAGACAGTAGCGAAAAGCAGCGATGTCGTCCAGTCCAGGGTACAAAAGCCTCAATCATGATGGAAGATCTAGCTCTACGAATACTTGTTGCTGTTCGAAATCATGGAGGAAGTGTCCTTGCTACGGAAAGGCGTGTATTGTAATCGCAGCTATCATCTGCGTTTTTGTCGCCGTTGTGTTTTCAGCTGCAGGTGTTTACTCAGTCTTCTACCCTATACACGCGTCCTGTAAGATAAACTGGTAAGACATTGCTTTAGAGAGTTTGTATACGTTTGTTTCAGTAACGATGGTAATGCTTTCTAGTGATTTTCTGACAAATGGAAAATTGTTTTATAATTATATATATATTAATGGCCGCCATTATACCAATGAAGGGGTCATCTCGGGATATAATTTTAGAAAAAGTCAATGAGAGACCACCTTGCACAAGTTCAGTTGTAGTTATGCCTCCTACTGATTCCAGTTGTGAAAACATTTGAATACGGTTATTGTTTTATCTATATCGACAGATTAATATTTTTATCATAATTTACAGGTCATTTAATGCCTCGTGTGATGTTGTCCAGACTAAAATTGTACAGCAGATCAATGACTGGAAGGGTGCTGACATGTGCAATGGAACTCAGAGATGTCTGTATCTGGTGTGTAATCTATTGTATAAACATTGTGCGAGGATTTAAAGAAATGACATCTGATTACAGATGTCCTAAATATTGGTATCTAATGTTTAATATGGTTCATGTATTAGTTGAAGGCCAATCTGATTAAAGTCATCTGTTACGTAGTAACTAGTATGAAGTTAACGGAGCCTAACAGATGATTTTAATCAGATTGAGTTGAATGCCTATGGTTTATACAGAATCTTTCCTGAGAAAATATGTATGTAAAAAGGAGAGGAAAATGGCGAGAAGGACCAATACAGATCCCGCAGCCCGTATTAATGAAGCCGTTCTCATACCCAAGCATAGATTTTAATTGTGCTCAAGCCTGATGTCTTGTTCTTGTTATAAATGAATAAAAAATCCTATTTTGTAAATAATTCGGAAAACATTTGAAGAGACTGAGAGCCGAACACCATTTTCAATGTTTACATTTGACTATTATTGATCATTTGGCATGATTTAGGGGAGTAACAAGAATACTGGTTTGAGCACAGCTAGAATCCATGCTTGAGCATGAGAATGGTTTCATGAATACGGGGCCTGGTTACTGGCGATTGTAACCCATTGTATAATTATAGTTCTGCTACACTCCTCCTACTCCTTTTTTATAAGTCTTCACACACACACAGCAATATACAACCCTCGGGTTCAGGTACTGCATACCAGTTTGTCAAGCACACAGCTAGTACACGTACTTGAAAAAGGGTCCATTCACACAGACACCATAGTAGAAGGAGAGGATAAAAGCTGATAAGCGCAAAGCCGCAGACTGGGGTGAACCAAGAACCTCCAACTCTAGACAGATGCTCTAACCAATTAATCTACCTGGTCACTGGTGGCTGAGCCAGTCTAGTTCCTCTACATTAGAAAACACTTAGTATTGTTATCTGAATCTCTATATGAAACAAATGAAAAGCTGGTTAACAGTACATCCGTGTTCAATAAAGCAGGATGACCAATGAAAAAAAAGGCTATTGGACATTGTCTGTATCATTTATTTCTGTGGCCAACTGGATGAACCGTTTCTATTAACAGTTACCATCTGGCTTAATTGGCAAATGAGGAACTTGTGGACGATAATACATCACAAAATATTTCTATTGTTTGATAAAAAAATCCAATGCTGAGTTACATCTCAGTTGAATTATTTAAGAACTCTGTATTATATAAATATTAGACATTTATAGTTATTATGAGGGAATTTATATTATAGAATGTTGCTTTGTTAGTTTATAAACATTAACTCATTCATTTTCCAGCTTAAGGGCAATAAGGCAGGTGTGAAGACAACAGCAACCCATGAGACACCAAAAAAGCACTATATAGATGACCTAACATTTGACTTCAGTAGTGCTTCTGATGGGTCCTGCCAAGTCAAGGTAAGAATTACAGTGTAGTAGTGATCAGAGTTCAGTTTGTATGGTGTGAAGGTTTTTTGTATATTTTAAAGTTTTGTTTAACCTGTATTTGTAAGTTACCTCTCCAGGTTTGAGTTTTGTACAAACACACAGTTGGAAAATATGACCTTTAATTTTCAGTTTATATCTTTTAATGTCAAATTCGATGTTTAGTTGTTTTATAAAAAATGTCTTTTTTTCAGGGATATTCTACATCAGAAACCTGGTATGCAGTACTTGACTATGGAACCAACTACTGCAACTTAAACAACCTAATAACAGGTGAGACTCTCAAAACTTCAATAAATATGGACTCATTGAATGGAGGATTGGGCATGTTTTAGATTTAGGGCTTCATCATACCAGCTGAGGGCCACAGCCACATCTATTTGTCTCATCCCAAACCGTTTCAGTAAGACTGAGCTTGTTCTTTTATGAAATAGGGACAGAGTCGATAGACCAAGACAGTGGTCTATATGAGTGACACTGATTCTGATTTGAGATTTTGAAGTCTTCCATTCATATACTTTAAACTGGAAAATTGTCACCAAGTCGAACTTTTGCCCTTCACCCACAAAATCATTTTTTTCCCAGTTTAAATTTTGCCCTTCACATTGAATTATTATTTATATTGTATTGTTTACTTATATTCACTGTAATGCAAACTTTGCCCATATAACGGAGGGTGGACAAGGCAAAAAAATTACCTGCAGAAAAAATGTCCATGTATACAGTATTCCATCTTTGCGTATTGCAGAGTTATCTTCTCTTGGGAACAGGTATTGATTGTTTTTACGTCACTTGTTTGTGAGAGTAACGCCATCAATTTTTGAGAAAACAACGTAATTTTCTCACACAAACCAATGGGGTAACAATCAATACCTGCTCCCAAGAGAAGATAACTCTGCAATACGCAAAGACGGAATACTGGGTGTTCCTTCAAAAGTATGATATTTAAAAGTAGACAGTCCGATTTGTCTGCATGAATGAAAAGTCAATTTGTCATTGGTTATGATATAACAAGTTACTTCAATGGTGAATTAACAACCATTCACCAATTCTCCGCTGGTGTACTACTGGGTCTGCATTCACAAAATCATTCTCGTGCTCAAACTCAGATTCCATGCGCAAACTAAGATTCTGTGCTCAAACCCAATTTTCTTGTTCGGGTGATAAATTGATAAAAAAAAGACATTTTTTCAGTAACTTGGAAGGATTTTGGAAAGGCAAAACGCTGAATATTGTTTTCAAAGTTTACATTTGACTTTCATTATGTGACATAATTTAAGTGAATTAAAGAAAGTTGGTTTGAGCACAGAATCCATAATTAAGCATGAGAATGGTTCCATGGATACAGGCCCTGGGCTCCTGCTTATTCATCTGAATTGTTCACTTGATTTGTCACATTGCAAGATTAAATATTTTCAAAAACCAGGTTTGTCCCAAAATATTTGAGCTCTTTGGTTTGAATACCGCATACACTCTTCATTTAATGTGACTCTTTCTCATAATTTGCTATTGACAGGTTCTGGTGTAGACAAGCTGCCCGCCTATACTGAGACAACCAGCGATTCTGTCTGTACTCAGTATTCCATAAGGAACTGTGATGTCTATTAGTGGTTTACTGTATGCTTCAGTAACATGTTGCCTTTCTGCTGTTGGGTCTTGTAACTACCACACAGAAGTGATTGAGTGACTTTTGAACATCATAGTATGCTTAAGTAACTGTGATACTGACAACGAATATATATGATGCAGCATCAAGAAAGTCATTGGTATAAAAATAAGAATTAATATTCAAGATATTGTCATCCATGATTCTCCAAGGGTTATGCTTATTTATGGTCTCTGCACACCTGGAAGTCATGGCAGTCATTTTTACTGTTAGGTTAGTTTGAGACACTTCTCATGTACATTAGAGGATCAAACTAGCCTTCTTGTATCATCTTCAAGTAGTGGACACCGAGCTTTGGATTTTGTTACAACTTATTCCTGGGATTCGGAGAGTGTAAGTGAGGGTAACCTCTGAAGTAAAGAGGATAGGAAACTACAAATTTGCTTGTGTCTTGATAAGTGTATTCAACAGTATTTTTGAGAAAGGTAAAATTTTGAAAATTAGAGATTATTACTCATTATTCAGCTTTGAATAGAAGAGATCTGAATAGTAATTTTCAAGATTTTCTGCATTTTCGTATTTCAAAAAAATGTTGATATCTCTGGAGGCTTATTCAATCATATGCTTCTTTTTTCCCGCCTCTTCATATTGCTGCATTTTATTGTCTTGAGGAAGTGTATTGATCTGACTCACAAGTACTTTCAATAATTATGTATTTGTTATCAACTGAATAATTGTCATTATGTATTTGATTTTTCTTAACTTTGTCATTTTTTATCTCCATCTTTATTTCATCTGAACATACTATAAAACAAAGCTGTAAATGTTTTCAATGGATCAAGCCAAGCTTACTGCAACATATACAATTCATGTAAAATTAGCATCAGAAGACTTTATCTCTAACGTTGATGAGAAAGTATGTTTCCCTTGTAATCTTATTATGTTGTGTACATTTTTATGAAATGGAAAAAATCAAAACAAAAATATGATGTATATGATAAACCCTGCTGTAAATAGAAAATGAAGACAAAAAAATAACAAAACAAATATTAACATGACCTTGTTACAAGTATTTGTTGCTGCAGTATTAATGTATGCACATGTTATGCAGCATATTTATACGGTATAGAATGCATCTATTTACCATTCGTTTCAAATGTAACATTTACAAGTGAGATCAAATTAATATTATGTAAATGTGTTCTTTTTCAAAATCATCCAACTGAATTTGATGTCTAGTTGACACGGTAATCTCAGTTGGAATAGTGTCAAGTGTTGGGAACTAGAACGATATTGTGAAAAAAGAAAAGTAATACTGAAATCAAAAGCAAAATATTGATATACAAACAAATGTATAATAAATGGGCTGATGTTGGAAATCGAAGTATGGAGTCGATTATGTAAACCTAATTAAACATAAAAACCTTACTTTGAATCTTTTAACTGTCCAACTTAACCATGAAAACAGGAAAGCTTAAACTTATATCTTGATGAGTGTGCACGTTCTGAATGTAATATTCAGGGCCAAGATTAGAGAATAGAATTGTGATACATGTTTTTTGGGGGTGTGGAAAAAGTGTTTGTGGATACCAACTCGTCTTGATTGTTTCACTTGTTATAAACAGAGACGTTATATACTACTGGCTGTATATGTCTCTGATGTAGCACACTGCATAAAACTGCTAGCACACCTAATTCATGTTATACGTTTTTCTTCATATATATGCTTCAAACTGAAAAAACCCGTCTTGTTTGTCTTTGAAATAAAAGTTAAATATAATATATCTGTTGAGTTGTCGATATGTCAACAGAAAATTGATATGTACCTATGTTTTGCGAAAATACCACAACTCTACCGAAGGAAGGTTTCCGGTATCATGATCGGCAGTTTCCTCATTCTTTCCACGTACAACCACTGATTGGAAGATCTGGTCAAAACAACTGACTTAATTATGTAAACTTTTAAAGGTTTAATTATTACAAACAAATTAAATCCAAAGCGCACTCCTCCAACCCTGTAAATATACTCGATATCGAGATTCTTCCAGTATTATACAGATACAGACAGATCTAAATGAAAAGTAAATTGAAAGAACAACCAAAATGATGGAGTCATGCTTGCTGCACCACATGTACCCATTAAGGTATGTTGACCACTAACGACGGTCAGTCATAGTTGACATTAAAATCGCGGGGATGAAGTGACTTGCCTCAACATAGTTTCGCTATATATAGACTAATACGAGAGTAATTGCATTGAATACGTCCTCGGGTGTGTATATCTGTTCATATGCTTCACGATATACACTAAATGGGAAATATAGTTCAACATATTTACAAACTATATTTCCCATCGTAATGTATTGCAGCTATAAAACCCTTCCACATTTAGATGACATTCATATAAATTGAATTTCCTGAGAGATAACCATATTACAAAATGGTTGATGGAAACACTGAACATTCATAGGCAAAATCTTGCATAACAACTTTTACCGGGCCCAATAAAGCTGATTTTTGGCTCATGAAAATATGATTCTGACCATTGGTTAAGTTTCACTCCATATACATGTATCAATCTTTAACAACAGAAAAACTTGTGTGGTGATATATAATAGTGCACAGCAAAAACTTGCTAACAAAAATGTATCCAAGTCCAGTTAAGCTGTTTTTGGCCCACAAAACAGGAAAATATGTTTCAGTGCATTGTCTGTAATCCATATAACAGCCTATTGTCTTAACAGTTGTAATCTAACGCTGTCTAAAAAGTGTTGAACGACCTCAAAACTACCAATGTAACGTTACTTCTGCCAAATCCTTGCAGTCATTAAGGACATTTAAAAAATCCAAATGGACAGCGTATATGCCGTCAACGCTTTAAATAGTAAAATTTCTCCCCATCCCATCATCATAATTGTGAATCGTAGAGCGCCGGGCGCCTCTTGTCACTTGCTTGTTCGGTTGTCTTTCTGGCAGTGCAGATTCCTTTTCCCTTTTTCAACCCCCTCTCTCTCTAAGTGTAGTGCCCGTGTAGTAAGCCTTGTCGGTGGGACTATGCTCGACTACTTGCTGTCTGTATCCTGCCAGTACAAACCCTTTCCTCGTTTTCTCCCCCATTCACTTTATACTTTTAATCTATATCATTATTCTCCGTGTGCTAGCCTTGCTCTCATACATGACAGAATTTGAAGGCTATCAATGAGTACTTGAAATACAGCGAGTATGTACTTAGATCAAATCGCCCAATGCAGTGGCTACAAATATCGCAACGGCATTGTGGAAATCTGTTTACAAATGTCTATGTAAAGTGTTGTATGCTGTCGCCTTTTGTTTTAAAACATTTCTTTGTTTTGATACGCCATGCGAATGTCAATGACAAAATGAAACAACAATAACATCTAAATAGCTGCTTTACATGACCATCCAAAGCTATTTACAAAGCCTCTTATTGTCGGCCTCTACGACTGTCAAGGTTTTTTAATTCTCCTTGATTGACCTCCCCCTGTTTCGTATTAACAGTTGTTTATTAAGCTTCTTCTCGACAACATTGTCTGTCAGTTGTTCATTCTCATTTTTGACAACATTGTGTGACGTTTACAGGGTTCGTATCAGTCACTTCCACTGAAGATCCTGATTGTCTATACTACATGTAGATGTTATTTGAGCTACTCAGTGCAAATATATACAGATAAAGTAACTTGCATATTCAATATAACTGCTGTCTAAAAGCACTCAGTCCCTCTGAGTAATGTACAACACTATGATCTAATAACTATGAAATATATTACAACAAAATGAGGGACATACTACTTGACGGCAAAGTGGAGCCATGATTCGTCACATTACCCACGCCTCCGAGTAAAACGTGTCCTCACGTTCCAACTAAGAAAACATATAACTAAAAAACGATATACATTCCAAGAATTATGTATTGTTTTAAAAGACATGAAAATCGACAAAGTCGGTGTCTTAAATATCAAGTCACTGAATTCTTCTAACTTGTACGACCAAATATTTCAGGTTCGAAAAACTCAAATTCTACCACCTCAATGTCTCGACCATCTTCGGAATAGCCCGTCGTCTTTGTAACAGTTCTACGGGAGGTTTTGACCTCCTCAGTCTGAGTGGCACGATGTACATAGGTGCATAACTTTTTAGCACTAGGGCGTCCACTGGTAACAGGCATAGGAACCATGTTTACAGGGTTCTTGGGATGGGGTCTAGCAAAGCTCTTTGGGTCTTGCTTCCGTTTTGGAGCCTGCACCGGCTCTGGTCTGGTTGGCTTCCTGACCGTGCGTCCGACCAGAAGACCGTTTCCCTCATCTTCAGATGTAGAGTTGCTCTCTGACGAGTCCGAGAGCTGTCCTAGCAGGTCCCCAGGATCTTGGTTGCTCCAGCTCTCCACATCTGTGTTGACAGTCACAGTTGAGGTGGATGGGCGATCTGCAGCCGGAGTTGTGGACACATCCTTACACACATTTCCTGTGGAATCCGTATGGCGCTTACGGTGTCGAGTCATGTTTGCAGCCCTGATTGCTTGTAGCTACAATCAGGACAAGCCAGAGTCTTCTTCTCCATGGTCTCCAGGCCACACTCAAGAATGTGATTACGCATCACGTCAAGATCATCTGCTCGAAAGGAGCACATAGGACACTGTTTCCTAGGGGTAGACTTTGTCTTCACCATCTTCTGGAATGATAAAATTGAGAGTTGTTTACCAATCAGAATAGATCATTCTAATAATTTGAGGTGTATTCTGAATGCCATTGCGGTTTCCTTATAGGCCGCCTTGGGTTTGCTCTGATTTGTTCGCACTCTTTCTCAATGCTATATTTTTGCTCTACCTCATCTCTCAACTCACTTGAGGTCTCATCTTCTGAAAGCTTACATTCTCTTTCTTTCTGACCACGTTCAAAACATGATTCATCAACCTGTACTTGCACATTTTTCATTCCAGCTTCTTTCGCTTTACTTTCACCCCGTAACACCTGTGAATGTCTCAGTCGCATGCGATCAGCATGAATCACTTGACTCTTTCCCTTGTATCCACATCTGACTTTATAAGTAACCTCGGTCATTCTGGTGAGTACCTTAAAAGGTCCTCGCCATCGTTTGGCTAACTTGTGTGTGGTCCCAGTCCGAGTGTTCGGGAAGAAGACATAAACTGAATCACCAGACTTGAATTCAGTCCAAGACAATTTCTTGTCATGGTAACGTTTTTGTCGCAGCATCGCTCCTTTAGAGTGCTTCCTCACCAGGTCGTGTGCATTCTCCATCATTTCTTTTAACTGCAAAGCCCATTGGTTTTGAGGAATGGCCTTGATATTCCTTGGCATCTCGTACTGAATATCCAATGGAGTGCTTGTTTCCCTTCCCAACATCATGCTATTCGGCGAGTTTTCCGTCGTCTCATGTTCCGTAGAGCGATACGCCATCATCACATACGGCAAATGTTCATCCCAATCAGTCTGATGGTCGTTAACGAAGGCACTAAGCATGGCTACAAGTGTCTTGTTAAACCGTTCTACCATTCCATCGGATTTGGGATGATAGGGAGTGGTATGCGTCTTGTTTATTTGTAGAAGTAAACACATCTCTTTAAAGAGACAACTTTCGAACTGAGACCCTTGATCAGAATGAATGCTGTAAGGAACACCAAACCTAGATATCACCTCCTCAACAAGTACTTTGGCAACAGTTTGAGCTTCCATATTCGGCATTGCAAAACTCTCTGTCCACTTAGTATAATAATCAGATATCACTAAGATATGGCGGTTACCCATCTTTGTACTTGGGAGTTCACAGAGAATATCTATTGCTATCCTTTCCATAGGAAAGCCTGACTCCACTATCTGCATTGGTGCTCGTTTGGTTTTGCATGGACTCTTGCGTTTACTGCACTGTTGACATCCAGCCACATAGTTTTTGACATCTGATTGAAGACATGGCCAATAATAACTCTGTCTTATTTTTGCCAACGTTTTCTTCATTCCAAGGTGCCCGGAGCTCCTATTGTCATGACTGTGTGTCAACACGGTTCGTCTTTCAGCTGTTGGTACAATTGCCTGTAGAGTTGATTCTGAATGGGGATTTTTCCGATACAACATGTCCCCATGTATCACAAGGGATTCAAATTGGGCCCATAATGTCTTCACTATTATGTTTCGGTCACCAATTTTCTTATACAGAGGTTTCTCTCCTTTCCTCACCCATTCCATTACTACTGCAATGTCAGAATCCTTTTTCTGCTTCTGCTGAAGCGACAACTCCTCCTTTTCATTCTCGTCTTGAGAGTCCTCCTTCACAAACATCTTGCTGGATGCCATCTGAGCATACTCTTTGTCCTCGATCTTGTTCTTTTCCCACATGGGGTCAAACCCACATTGTCTGCAAGGTATCCGACTCAATGCATCAGCATTACTGTGCTGAGTTCCTGGTCTGTGCTTAATGTCCATGTTGTAGGAGCTCAATACTTGAAGCCATCTGGCCATCTGCCCCTCTGGTTCCTTGAAATTTAGAAGCCAGCGTAATGAACTGTGATCAGTTTTCACAGTGAACCTCTTTCCATACAGATAGTGCTTAAAGTATTTAGCAAAGTGTACAACTGCTAACAACTCCTTTCTTGTGACACAGTATCTCCTTTCAGATTTGGTCAGTGTACGTCCTGCATACGCGACAGGTCTCTCAATTCCATTGATGCTTTGAGATAGAACGGCACCGATTGATTTATCTCTTGCGTCGGTATCAAGGATGAAAGGTTGTGTGAAGTCTGTGTGGGCG